AGTTTGTGCGGAGTGCTCCTGAAATGCAGATTAATGCAAGGCTGCAGAATCTGCAACCGCTGCATCCAATTAAATCTCCAGCTTTAAAATCTGCACAAGACTCAAACAGCATCTTCAACTTCTAAAGGTCAAAGGTCAACCTCAGTAAGTCGAATCAGGCTCTGATTTGCAGCCATCCGACAGCGGATGAGGATCGTACCTTCTTAAGCTCCTCCTCCACGATGGCGATCTTGTCGTTGTACTCTGTAACCTGCTCCTCGTGGGCGGTGATCTGAGCCACCATGCTCCTGCATGAATCAAAAACATAGTCGTGGTTAGGAGCGCCCGAGATCAGGTCAGGTCAGCTATTTGGGTAAAAGCAGCGTTGACGTGTCAGCCGAGACCTACTCGTAGTTCTCCGAGGACAGGTAGACTCCGTGCTTGTCCCGGGTGGCGGCCAGGTCGCGTTTCAGACGCTCGATCTCCTCGGTGTATTCCTGAAGGACAGAGAAGGTCGTGAAACCTGGTGTTTGGACTCAGGGTCACATTTTCATTTAGATTCTTCTGGGTCACGAATTTAAAAGTTTCAGATTTTCCCGACCGCGTCGCGTCGACCTCATACCTTAATGAGCGTCCTCTTGGTGAGCTTCTGGTTGACCTCGGGCTTGTTCATGATGTTTTTGGCCCTGCTGGCGTACTCGAGGGTGCTCAGCGTCTCCTGCACGCACAACCGAGACTCGTCAGCACAATTAGACGCAGTGAAAACAACACGGGCGAAACAAACGTGCTCGATCGAGAAACGCTAAACTATAAACGTGGTTACGTCCATCTTTTATTTACAGTCTGTGCTCGAGTGGAAACATTTACACCAACAATAACAGACGTGGGAAACGCACTTCCAGGTTGCTGGACGACGGCGACACGGTGGCGATGATGGAGGTTTTGGTCCGCCCTCCCAGCGAGTCCTGAAGGATTCTGGTGAGTTTGGACTCTCTGCGGGAGAAAAGAAACCGATCAATACAGCTCCTAAGCTCCGCCCCCACAACGACACGCGGGAGAAGACGGACCTGAACGTGACGTCCTCGTGACGCCGAGGAGGGTCGTTTCTCACCTGTACGGGACGTGAGGCCTCTTCTCCACCAGCGCGGTGATCACTCGGCCCAGCGTCAGTAGCGATTGGTTGATGTTTCCCGCCTCGCGAGCTCGCTTGTCCACGGCGCCGGAACGGCCGATGTTCTCGCTGCCGGCGAGATCGACCTGAACAGGAAGCGTTTGGGTCATTTTAGACGCTGTAGGCCACGCCCCC